GAAGAGTGTGCCCTTGCCTGTGAGCGTGAAGCTCACCGACTTTGACGAAAACGAAGCGTGTGCTGATGTCCCGTTTCGCGAGTTGGTAGGATCTCTGATGTGGTTGGCCACTCAAACCAGGCCGGACATCGCGAATGCAGTACGAGCAGTAGCGCGGTATTGCGCGTCTCCCAAGATGGTGCACTGGAAGGCAGCACTTGGTATTTTAGGGTACGTGCGTAGGACGAGTTGGATGGGGATTACATTTGAGAGGGGAGTGGTCACTGGCATGAGCATGCAGGTGTTTGTGGATGCCGACTATGCAAGCAAGGCAGCAGACCGTAGGTCGGTCTCAGGAGGACTAGTGATGTGTGGGGGTGGGTGTGTGACTTGGTTTTCGAGGACGCAGAAGTGCGTCACGCTCTCCACAACGGAAGCAGAGTATGTGGCAATTGCCGACGTCTTGAAGGAAGTGCTTTTCTTGAGGCAGGTTTGGCGTTTTATGTTGCCAGATGCAGGTATGCCGTGCATTCCGGTCTTCGAGGATAATCAGGGAGCGATTCAAATTGCGCACAACCCGATCACGAACTCAAACTCGAAGCACATCGATGTACGGCATCACTTTATCAGGGAACTGGTAGAGAGGAAGGAGATTTCGATTACGCATGTGACGTCGGAGTTTCAGCATGCAGATTTCTTGACGAAGGCTATCAGCAAGGAATCTTTTGCGTTACACAGAGACTTCGTGATGAATTTGCAGTGAAAGAAGTGTTTTCAGATCAAATCGTGTTTTTCCGCGGAGTGGAAGAGAGAGGATATGTACGGGCTTGAACAAGAGATGGAGAGAGTCAAGTGGAGATGGTAGTGTTTTGGAGAGTTAGTGTTAAGGATTTTTCTTGTTGATTTGGAAGAGTTGGTATGCGATTGATTATTTTCGGACGGATTGTTTTGGTGTTGGAATTTCGTTTTCTTGGTTTTGATTGTGTTTTGGGATGAACTGGTATGAAAAGGATGACATTGATATTTTGCCGGAGCATTACGATGCATACGAGCAGGGGGGCTATTCGATATACTCGTAGCATAGTATGATGGTTGAGATGTTAAGTACGTACGTACGAATATTGCAGTGATGAGATGCGGATGAACAGGAACTTTCTGCATATTTTCCTTGGCTGTGAGAGGCTTTTGGTGAGGATTCAGAGAGATTCGTTGTGTGAGAAAGCATGACGGCGTGACTCGATACCGTGATGGTTTGACGAGCACGAGCACGCCCCCGATCAATAGAACACGTTATACAACACGTTTTCCAACACGTCTGCACGACGTTACCTACCCCTACGGCCCGTAATGGCCGAGCTGCTCTACACTCCCATCGCACACAACTGAGCCACCCGAATAATCGATGATATTCCAGGGTTTGGTTCGGAGCTATCCTCGGAGCAGCCTACCGAGGCCCTTCTGAACAAGGAGGAAACGCAGAGGTATGAGGCCATCACCGGATCGATCATGTATCTCGCTCAGAGGAAGTACGATGTCATGTATGCTACAAGTCAGCTCGCGCGCGCGATGTCCAAGCCAACGAAGGTGCACATGGGTGCTGCAAAGCATCTTCTGCGGTATCTCGCCGGAACACCGGATTTTAGCATAATGTACAAGCGAGGAGGCTTCAAACTGACCGCATTCTCGGATGCCAACTGGGGTAACAACCCTGATAATGCGAAGTCGACTTCATCCTACATGATCATGATGTCGAAGGTTCCCGTAGGCTTCAAGACGGGTCTGCAAAGTTTAACGGCAATGTCGACCATGGAAGCGGAGCTGGTGGCTGCAGCTCTAACGATGAAGGAAGCAGTGTTCTGCTCAATTATGATGACTGGGTTAGGGTTCGGACAGCAGTTCGGTCAAGTGCCGTTGTACATCGACAACACGGCCACCCTTCACGTCATCGGGAATCAAGCCTACAGTTCCCGTACGAAACACATCGCCCTACGGTTCTTCAATGTTCGAGAGCTGGTCAAGGAAGGCGCAATCACCATCCACTACGTTTCTACGGATCATCAACTCGCCGACATCGGAACCAAATTCCTGAGCAAGCATCGCTTTCGTCTTCTACTCGACCTCATCAGGAACTTCGGGGAGTAGCTAATGACTCTGCTGAATCACGGTGTGATCTAGTCTATCTGTTTTTTTATTGTTTATTTGTGTACACTCATTCACCAGATATTGCTGGCACATATTTTTCGCATGAAACGGTCATCAAATTTCGCATGTTATCGCAGACAACTTTCGTTGAAGGGGAGTGTTATGGAAATGCCTACGCATCTCCTGTCTTAATCAATGTTCAGTACTACTGCTTATGTAGACGAATGACGTATTTGTTACCAATGTATCGGTTGTACATCTTAGTACATTTGGCCTCTACGAAGAATGAGAGTCCGTCGAACCTTATCACAGCATCGAATGTTGTAGCTTTGGATGGAGGTAGCAGAAGGAGTTGGACGAATGTGCTGCATGCGGCACATCGCCATCTAGCGCCAAGCGGAATGACCGGGATCTTTTACCACCCGATAGCGTGATGACAGAGTGAAACTCCAGCTACGACCGACGTACTTCGGGTTGCCAATCCCTCGTCTAGGCTCACGGGTCGACACCTTGCCAAGCTAGGTAGTTACATCTGCGGGTTATCTTATCCCACCTGCAAGTCGCTCGATCGAGTGGCATGGTCTCATGTTCTCTTACCGTCGAGGTCGTTGCCGAAGAGATACAACTGCTCGAGGACCGCCAGGTCGCCCAACTCCTTGGGGATAGAACCTGCCATTTTCAACAGATATCACCATCAGTCGGGGGAGCTTTCATCGTGACCAGGCCGACAAACCGCTCGAACGTGTTGTGCGGCGAGCTCAACGCGATATGTCTTCCCCGAACCGACGAGCGTATAGAAGTACATGGTAAGACAAAGGCAATGTCAACAAAACAAAGACACATATTTCCCGCTATTGGCTGACCTCGTGTTCTTTGCCAGCTGGTTGTAGCGGCCGACGCAAAAAAAAAACAGCACACACTTGGTATGGCAGTGACCCTTCCCTGAAGGCTCCCATCGAGACGCCAAGGAAGATATCGTACGCGCAACAGCAATCCCCATGTCTCTGCTTGGGAAACGAGGGGTGTGGGAATGGCCACACTGCCTCGACTTGCCCCGAATGGCACCAGCGAAGAGCCAGCGCCATAAAAGTGTGGGAGGTTTTATACTCAAAAACCACATCAGACTTTCGCCGTGCTAGGTATAATGCAGGAACTTTTGCTTTAACTCTAACGCATACCTAGGGTAGAAACGCCGGCACACAGGATGGGGCAGCGCGTGAAAACCTTACCGGAAAAGAAATTCGTGTTCAGGTCAAGAACCTCCAGATTCTGCAACTTCCCCAGCTCGGGAGGAATGGAGCCTGCGGGATATAGCAACCAAGATCAAGCAAAAATAAATAACAAACGGGCGCCTTTACATGGAAAAAGCTACCGAGAACCAACGCAAACGCCGATCAGGTGTGAGATTAGCTGCGAGAGAATACCGGACGAAATACTTCGATCATCGCCCCCACAGAAGCGCGCAAGGGCAGATAGTACAGTTGAGAATCTGTGAGCATGAAGGCACTCCGCCCGGGCTACTCGCGGCCAGAAAACATCCACTCCACTCTCTCACTGGAAGAAATGATACTGGTATTCAGATTTCTACTCAACGCCTGCGGTATACCGCGGTCGGCACCCGCTGGCGAGCTCTTGTTTTCTCTTGGCATTGTGCCTTTGCCAGAATAACGTTTTAACTCCGAACTCACGAAATCACTGTGCGCAACAACAGCAACACCACGGTGGCGATGACCGTCACGCATATCGTCGCAAACCATCTGGCGACATCGCCATCCACGCCAGTACCAGCAGCCCGAAACCCAGGCCGACAAATACACTACTTACCCAAGAACGGCGACCGACTCTCTCATCAGTAGCAAAACCATTGCAACCCCACAGCGAGAATACAAAGGGCAGAAGCCCATCACTGAGGTTGAACAAAAACGGCAGATGTTACCCTTGCTCTTCTGAGCAACATGCACGGCGCATGAAAGCATGACCACAACATGTTCACACCCTACCTTACCCCGAAGTAATGAAATTCACATCGGGGAAATTGATGGATATTCCGCCTGACGCCTGACGTTCGCGACCAACCAAGAGCACTATCCAGAATGCACGAGTATGCATTCCTGATGGCTTCATTGGCGAGATGCGATGACCATATTACGCGTTCCTCATGATGAGATTGCCGCCGGTCGCATACACACACACACCACACACCTGTGAGAGAATTGATTCCCAGGTAAATGTTTTCCACCGCAGTCAGGTTGCCGATTTCTGGCGGGAGGTCACCTTGCGGGGCAGCAAAAATGGAGGAGCAGCTCTGCGCGGTCGAATCATCCATCGTCCGGTGACGCAACCACGGGGAATTCACCAAGCAAGACCCGTTGGGGTGCGCGAGGTGGCAAGAGGATCGACGACTGGATGCTTTTACCATAGGGATATCTACGGGACAATGGCCGGCTCGACCACCAGCGAGGGAGGAAGCTCCCGGTAAGAAGGCGGGTCATAACATATGCTGCACAACTGTCAAAGAAACAACGTTCAAAGGATCAAATGCAGGGTAGACATAACCCCGGCGAGGTGCAGTTTATCCAGATTCGGAGACTGGATGGCTAGCGGGCGGGTGGCATGGGTGGATTGGTCTCTTTGTCGGTTGCGAAATCAAAACTGGGGCATGTTAGAGAAGCAGCAGCACGCCGTCCGGGTACAACACGGGAGGCGAGCCAGGCAACCCTCAGATGCGATTGGGAATTGAGTGAAATGATTTCAAGATTTAAACGGTAGTTCGAGCTAAGACTAATAGGTTTGGCGGGAATTGCAACTCCCCGGAACAGAATCACATCAGGGGAGTAGGTCTTAGTAGCACCTCTCTAGGGGTGGCCTTGACCGCCCTTTGCGCTTAGTCTACCAAAGAGAGCAAGGCAAGAGCAAAAACAGCGAGTCTCCACTTATGGTCTTCAGGGATTGATACGAATGTAAGCCTCACAACATATGTCCGAATCGATTGGTCGTAGCTCGACGAGCAGCGAGGACCGCAAGCCGCGAAAGCTTCGCCATTCAACACACGCGCGTGGCAATATCTTCGGACGAATCTCCAAACAATACAAGTCGTAAACGTTTTCAATTCCGTACGTACGTAGAGCCCAATAGTAATTTAGCTTCAATGAAGGGTGGGAGTAACCGAAGGAGAGTGAATATAGGTACAGGACCGCGTCAAATTCTGCTGCCTGAAACTGATCAGGTGTGAGCACGTACGTTGTTAATGCTTACCTCACCATATTGTGCTCATTTCACCATGATTGTGTCAACTAAGTATCGGCGCGACACCTCATACCTTCTACCATTAACACCCACGCAAATCCGGTGAGTGCTTCTATGTGTAGCAGTCCGGTAGAAACCTCAAAGCACTAGTCCCATCTCTCAAAAATGATTCAAAATCGCACGTGCCACCCCCACTTTCGTAAAACGCTCATCTCGAACCATATGAATACATCACCAAATCAAGCTCAAAGGCTTGCCTTCCCAAACAATGACGCCACATCCCCTAGCCTCGAGAACAACACGTTGGAGCGTGGCAGGTACACGCGGGTCTCTCGACATAAGAAATCCGCTCTCTCCCCTTTGGCTCGATCTTCATCAGAGGCCAACGGCATAGGGGACCTACCTTGCAGGTTGTTCTTTTCCAGGGAGACCCTCGACACGTACGACCCCGTCTCGTTGATGGAGAGCCCGTACCAGGAGTTCATGTCACTGCTGTTCGTGTCCCAACCGTCGGTGTCTGTCCACTCTGGCCCGCCGGTCTCATTGTATAGCGTGAGGAGAGCCTCGCGGTCCCCTTCGAGGTCGCCTGCCAACACCGTCAGAATTTGCCGTTCAACCCAGAAAATGCTTAGGACTACCGCGCAGATCTGTGCTACGAACGTCGGAACTTGGACAAGCTTCGGGCCGTGGTCCATTCACTTCATGGACCAGCCGATAATTCCTTGAGAGAGAAGAGACGGTGTGGCAAGTCTCGTGATACTTGCACCGTGGAGAGAGCCGCAGTGTTGGCGCCTTGAAATAATTAATGGGTAATTTCATTGTCCACACTGTCGGTGTGAACTGCTACCCCCCCAGGGGTCAACATAAAATGCTATGTATGGTACAATATACAAGGCTCCCCTTCGGGAGTTAGGTGGCTTGCCTAGCGGGGGCGACAAAAGAGGACATGGCATATGCTACCGCGGCCGCATCGATGCATCTCAACGACCATTGCGTTCGGTAGGGGTGTCGGTATTGCGTATCACCTGCAGAATTTGCCTGGAATTTGCATCATGTGCGGGGTTCTTTTTTTCTCGTCGTGACTTGTGCGTGAGTGTGTGATATTAGGTTAAATAGTGGCGGCTTTGCGCAGGAATCGAAACAAAAGTCTTTCTGTTTATGCAAAGCAATTTGTTTCTTGCGACGGCTTTCTTCGCGCGGAACAAGTCCCCGGGAACAAAGCCAGTAGCTTCAACTGTGGGCCTCAAGCACAAGCGCCACGGGTGGTTGGCAGTCCTCGGGCGTGCGCGGTCATACACCGACGATCCCCCTGAATGCCCCTGAGAAGGAAGCGTGAGAAAACCCCCCCTCCGCCAGAGAAACAATGTCTCAAGGAACGAAAACAGGCGAACAGGTACAGTCGACCTCGCTTTATAGACACACCACGTTTTCCCAAAAAAAAAGTGTCTTTGACGCGGCGAAGTGTCGTTCAAATTCCGGGGCCACTACCGCACCATCCCCGGGGCCAATGAAGGCGAAACATATGTCAAAAAGGTGCGCATTCGGAGCAGAAAGGCGCCCACAAGAGGTGTTGTTTGAAACCTACGACACAAGGTGATTTGAAGGTCGCAACCACTGCTGCTATTGTGCTGCAATACATACTTGCATACCATCGTTTGAATTTCCCCGTACTGTACCACCAAAACGCTGAAAGCGATGGTGTTCTACGACCTACGCATCGTACATGTACACCACGGTAGTGCGCTGGTGTTGATCTGGGCTTAATTATATTTTTTAGGCGTTGTCCTCCCCGTGAATATCTTGCCCAAGATCTCGCTACCGCACCTGAGAAATATCGAAGGTTGTAAAACGACACTAGGAAAATGAAGGTTACGCAGAAACACAGAGACCAAAAACATTGCACAGGTCCGTTCTGTAGGGTACTCACAGATCGGTACCGGCGGTATTTTCCCTCTGTAAGTACCGACGGATCACTACAAAGAAGATCTGTCAGACCCCAGTACCCTACAGAGATTTCACAGATAGTTCGGTACTCTCCCCAGTATCTACCGAGATTTTACAGACTGTTCGGTACTCTCCCAGTACCCTACAGATATTTCACAGAACATTCGGTACTCGCCCAGTACCCTACAGAGATTCCACAGAACGTTCTGTATTCTCCCAGTACCCTACCGAAAAGTTCTATGACACCCCAGTACATACAGAGATTTTACAGAGGAGTTCTGTGAGACCCCAGCACATACAGAGATTTTACAGAGGAGTTCTGTGAGACCCCAGTACATACAGAGATTTTACAGAGGAGTTCTGTGAGACCCCAGTACCTACAGAGATTCTACAGAAAGTTCGGTACTCTCCCAGTTCCCTACCGACAAACAGTTCTGTAACTCTCCCACTACCCTACCGAAAAGTTCTGTACAGTAGTACCCTCGGAGGTATGACGTCAGGATTGCGCCGAAGACCCCACCTGCCCCACAGCCACAAAAAGCTTGAAGGCGATCACAGAACTAGAACTAGGTACCTCCACAGAACTCCTTTCGGTCACATAGCTTGAGAGGAACATGAGCGAGAGTGCAGACCTCAGCAGCAGCGTCTCCCCGGCGCAAAGTACAGCAGTTGGGGGTGGAGGAGGCGAGGGTGAAACAGAAACAGCCGTACGTGTTTTGTGTTTTGCTTTGGTGCACTGCNTAATTATTTGCAATTGTCTACAGCGGCAACGGTGGCGGCAGCGATCTGTGCTTTGTGCCCCGCACTGGTGTAGACGTCCGCCGGGTGTTTCACCGGCACGCCTTCGCCGCCGCTGCTGCTGCTTGCGATAGCGTCTCCAGTGGTGGTGTCATTCGAGCCTTCCTGCACGCCGCTGTCTCCAACTTGACCCCCCGCCGCGGGCGCGCCCTCGGCTGTTTCTGTTTCACCCTCGCCTCCTCCACCCCCAACTGCTGTACTTTGCGCCGGGGANCTACCCTACAGAAGTATCAGTACCCTACAGAACGGACCTGTGCAAAAAATGTCGGGAAAGCACAGCGACAAAGAGGACACCGCGCCTCCCAAAAGGTCAAACGACGCACAACACAACACAATCGTCAAATTCAACCTCACGAGACCTCACCCAAGGCAAACAACGAACGTTGGCAATACAAGTGCTTTGCTCTCGAAACCATTTTCTGGGGGGGTTCGAATGGTGGAAAACCCTACCCCCCCTACTTTTTCACATCTGCGGGGCACCATGTTTCTGAGAATTTTTGTGTTCTTAAAGCGGGGAGTGTCTACAAATGGTGTCGTGAAAGCGGGGACGACTGTACATTTTGAGAAACAGCGTACCATACAGTCCCATCATGTTATTGGTTGGGGGCGGGGCGTTGAGCGTCTCGACAAAAACGACCCAAGCGTAGGAGACTACCGCCTTCCGCCCGGTTGCCTGAGAAGGGATGAACACGTGTGACACCCACCTTGGCAGACAGGCGCAAGCAGAACCATCACTATCGGCACCCCCAGGCACCACCATGGATGATGCGTCATGTCAGGGCGAGGACGACCTGATCACGCACCGCCGCTTCTGCAAAGGCAGCAAATCTCGGATGTTGCTTTGAGTCTACTGGAAGAACTTGCCTCGAGATTAGGCCCCGTCCGCTGAGAATAAAACAACACGGGCGGGGGGGGGCGTACGATAATTTGAACAGTCGTGATTGGTGCTTCGTTTGAATATGCAAATATTGTACCACTATTTACGTTGACCGTCTAGGGACTCGCACATCATCTTGCTTTTGAACCTTCGCATCCCACGACTGGGGAATTATGTTGCACACCGTGTTCCAATATTCGAACTTGAAACTTCGGAACAATGTACCAAAGATTGAGGTCCCTTGATGGTGAACGTGCGGTTTGTGAATGTCAAAAAAAATGTCTGAAGGTACGAATAGGCACGGGTAAATCTTGCCCATCACTATAGCCGTCTGTGTGGTGCGGAAAAATTATCACGCCTCTCTCTTTTCGTCAGTGCCCACGCTTCGTCCATTTACTTATCCATGACCCGTCGGAGGTCTTGATACCTTCGGGGTGTTGCCTCAGACTCCGTAGAGCCAGTCGCCCACGTTGAACGTGAATTAACCTTGGGCCTCTGGAGATTACTCGTGTACGGAGTACGGAGCCAGTGGGACACGCTGAACCTACGCACGTTACGGTCTTTGGATATTGCCTCAGACTACTAGAGGCCCTCAACCCGATTCTTTCTCGATTCGCCGCCCCCTTCCAGTCTCTCGAGAGCATGACAGTGTGTATCCACGCCACACATACACAATGGAAACATGAGCCAGCCTATTGCTATCGACAGAACCAGGAACCGACTAGGAACCGACCGTTCCGGACGTTCGTCAAGCAGTGTACGCATACGTAGCACACGAAACACAGCAGTAATGCCTCAAGGGCTTTTTTTGCCGCCATGACGACGTCATATTATTGTAATCCCCGTTGTCGTTGAGTCGACGAGAGTGAGCCGCGCTATTGATATTTGAATACATCGAGACCATAACCATCCCTTTCTCCCTCGGGTCTGGGTGTCTTGTGACGAGTACAACAGCAGTAGATAGATGTGGAATGCAAGGCTTGATGTTTTTAGAAAAAGGGCGGGAACGGCAGAAACCGCCAACTCTTGCTCTGAAAAGCCAAACCTTACAGTAAGCATTAAGCCTTCGTGAACGGTTGCTGGAGAGGGGAAAAAACATGGCAGGTTCACCGTGTGCGCTTGGGAGTGAAACGCACCAACCATTCTCGACAAACAAGAAGGTGGGCAGAGGAGTATATGCGGTCGTTTACATGGCGTGGAAATCAGAAATCGGACCAGCGGTTGCGAGTGATAGATAGCTGTCTACAAGTGATAGATTGCTGTCTACATGTCCTGCGGGACCAGGACCGTTCGTACAAATCGCTCGGGGTAATTGACATCCCAACTCCGCGGTTGCACGTCATTGTTCTCGTGTGATATCCACGCAGCAGATACATGGTGGACGCCGTGAAAGCTATTATCCAGACCAGGACAATCTGGCATTTGATCCCCCCAGGGAGATGATAGCGCGGCAGCACACAGATTCAACTCGGGCATATTCAACGACAACAATGTTCATGTATGTTGTACGGGCAGTGCAAGTTGGCCAAGAATCCAAATTGGCACCCGTTCGAACTTGAAAATGAATCGACAGACCGACAGCGCAGCACCTGCAGAGCGGCGAACAGCACCTGAACAGCGGCCTAGTCTTCTAACTATCCGGCTAAAGGCGATTCGCGCAACAATACGCGCAACAAGGGTCGTCACGCTTTACGCTTCATGGGCGACACGGTGTCTTGGAGGAATCCACTGCTGAGCGGATAGAAAATGCTTTGAGGGAGGCACTTACAGGGGAGCAACATATCCATGCTACGATGTTGCTGCGGCACTCATTTGCTGCCTGCGCGAGCACGCTGCCGTCAGCAACAACCCGCACGGCCAGATGCAACAAATAGAGCATATACCTGTAGCAGCCACACCTGGATCTAGGGGGCAAGTATCCCACAGCATATATGCACACCTTCCGCCCGGTGCTCTCTCGTCCTGGTCCTGGTATTGTGCCGTTGGGCTCTTCGTGCCCCCTGCTTCGCACGACAACAGCCGCTTCTCGTCGGGTCGCGCGCGTCCCCGCCGCCTTTCAATGCGTAGTCTACAGTGTTTTCTGGGGGGCACAACACCCAATGATTAACAACTCTGATGACCTCCAACCTAGTTGCAAAACTTCAAAGTCCCCCACTTGCTGTCCTTCTGGTCGAGCACAGCGAGGGAGCTGGGTAACACCCAGCTGGTAACACCTCTCCTGCGCTCAGCAAGCTGGGACGTTTCCTATTTTCGGAAGGTATTTTTGTATCACAACGTTGCGAAAAAAATGTTCCGCTCCGCTCATGATACTCTGCGGATACCGCAAGTGGCCCAGGGGTGCAGCTGGTGCATGTTGCCTGGTCCTACATGTGGGATGTGTCCGTCATGCATGCCAGTTGCACACGGGCAGTAGTTCATGCCGGTGCCTCTCCAACGCATTTTCTGCGGGGCAGGCGTTTGTGTTATTGTGTAGAGTTGTCGAGTAAGAGTCCGATCTGTCAGCCGGCGTCACACACATCGAGCGCTTCTTTGAACAGAGTTCCGTCGCAACAGCTCTGGGTTTTGCTCGTGCACGACGAAGTCAGGTGCAATTCACCGGCGGTGAAAGGAGAGAGCATCTGCAATCGAGCATATGCACACCAGCTGATGCACGCACGGCATCTCCGACTCTCGGTGATGCCAATGCTCAACCATGTCTTGAGTTCCACAGGGACTGTGAATTTCTGAGTTTCCGCGGCCAATCAGCAGCGGCCACGTACGAAGATTGGAGTGCTCGGTCCTGCGCCGAGAACGTTCTCTGTTCTTCGAATTCCTCGGCTGCGGTGAAGCCAACAGCCCAGCAACCTTGCGCAAAGTTTGCCATTGCTCTCGCTCTCCCTCTCTCTCTCTGCCTTTACAAGCAACACACCAACACTAGCCAAAGAGAACCATGTGCAAGTCTAGCCAACCACAAGGAAGCAGCGAGGCGGCCCCGGTAGCGATGGAGGTCCCGACGAACGACTTATATGACCTCGCCAAAGCGTGTGCCATACCGGACAACGAGCAACCGCACCAAGAAGTTATCGCACACGACGAGGCCAGCGGGATCGTCGTGTTCGGCTCGTTCGTTGCAGGTGCATTGGTGGGGATAGTGATTTGCGCACCTGCTTTTGTGGTGCTACTCTTCGGGGCAGGCGCGGCGGCCGTGACTAAGTCAGACAGCAAGGTGGGAACGTTGAGGCAGTGCACCGCGCTTGTGACCAATGACCCGTGGGCGTGATTTTCAAGCAGGACCAACCTCCCGAGAGTCTCGTTTGCTCTCAAACGCGTACAAACAGGTCTGAAACCGGACGCCTATGCAAACCTCAATCATTTCCAGGCATGACACCCTCGTTATTTGCCCCAACGGCGGGAAAAATATTGGCTGGTACCTCACGATCTCTCGCTGCATGTAACCGTAAGAAGACACGGAGGAGGTATAAGCGTGTGTTTCAGGGCTATCGAGGGACGTGTCATGAAAGCCCAAACGGCCCTCCAGTGTAGGTGGTACATTGATAGATGATCCGTTGCAAACAGGGGAAATGTCCGTTCATGGCGTTGGCAGTATGTCCTCCGGAGCGGTGGTTGACCCCCGCCAGACCCGAACACTGCACCGGCATACCTCTAAAAATGGAGAGGTTACGGTGCACCGTCTTGGTGTGTACCGTCTCCGTGGAGCCCGTTTCTTACCTTTTTCTACGTCTCGCCGTCGAGGGTAAAGGTACTACACGTTGAAGACCTCTTCGCGGCTTCCGGTCGTGCGATGGGGGTTCGCCTTACAGTAGATGGCCTCGTCGCGCCCTTCCTTGATTCAAACATGATGGCGATGTCCTCAAAGAGATGAAGGAACCACTGTGCTGCTCTCAAACAACTGACACCCCTCTTGCCAACGCTACTCGACTTTGCTTCGTTCCTTTTTACCGCCGCAGGTTGGCAAGTTTTCCCGCAAAGTGGGCAAGGTGTCCTCCGACGTCCTTCTTGCCGTGCTCAGGTTCGCCAGGGAGTACAATCACAAGCACAAGTTGACGCACAAGGTGAGCACCGCGTCTCTACCCTGTCCATCTGTCCATCTGTAGAGTCCGCTCTGCGTAGTTCCGAGGAACGTTCTGTAGAGCCTGCTCTGCGTAGTTCCGAGAAACTTGTCGGTTTTTCCTCAGTTTCGTCAACTCGTTGTTGATGTGTACTCTGCGGTTCAGCGGAACTCCAATATGGAGAACAAAGGCGCACTCGCCTACGAACGGCGGCTACGGGTACCCGATCTGTTTTTTTTCAAATGCTCCCGTCGCTGTTGAGTTTTTGTTCGCCCTGTACCCTTCCTTTACCGGCAAAGGACACTTGGGCAGGTTGTCTCAACGACAGCATTCTTTGCCCGACCCAAGCCCATCGGTGTTCTTATGTTCACCTACTTCGTATGTAATTGTTTGTTGATTTTTTTCGTGTTTTCTTTGCCAGGCGAAGGTAGGTGCGAAAGAAGCGGCGGGGAAGGTGACCGACAAGGTGCGGAAGCTCGGCATCGTCGACAACGTTAAGGCCAGGGCAAGCTCCCTTTGGGATCAAGTCGACAAGGTCAGTAGTAGGAGCCGTTGTGTGATTGTGGGGGTGATGTTAGAGCTTTCGCTCTGCTATTTTCTCGCCCCTAACAGCTCTGAACGCCCAAGGCTAGTTAAGACTGTTGGAATTCATCGACCCTTTGACCGACAACCCTCATCGTATGCTTGAGCTAGGCCGCTTGTGGGCCACGCTTCTCCGCTCGCGAAACTATTCGAGGAACTTCGTAGGCGACCAAAACACACAGTATTTCAACTAAAGGGAAATCAAACGTGCATATTATCTGCCAGGTTTCGCCGGCCATGTACGCTGCGGTTGTGTCTTGTTCTGGTATGATGGTATATCTGGTGATTCTGGAGCCACGTTTTCATGAGGAAATGTTGTTGGAGCATGTACTGCTGTAGTTTTGGGTTAATAGAATACCACGGAATACGATCCTGTTGCCATCACCTCTTGGCAGCGGCAGCGGCCTTGCGCTTGTTCCTTTGGCGGTTTCTTCGTGGTAGTTCCATCGGCGGTCGGCGCGGACTTGAGTACTGCTCTCGAAAACATAACGAAACACGGGGTACAACAATTAGTTCGTAGACGCAGCGATGGAAGATTGAAACTTCTGACAAGGGCGACGAGGTGCATGCGCGAACGTGACTTCCCCCACTTCTTGGTTGTCTCGTCGATATACTCTCCTATCTCAACCGCCACTTTACCTTCGCATCTCAGACGAATCACCTACTCCCTCCCCCTGTTTCCGTGTCGCAATATCCAATCCATTTTGCAGCGGACTGCTCCTGCTGGTCAGGCTTCTATTCAGGTAGCACAAGCGCAAGACCTGAGCCACGTTACCGACGGCACCCGGATTCCTTTCGATGGTGCCACGGATGCGCACGTAATAGATTCATCTTCCTCTTCGTCCTCCAACGGCGGGAAGCCCAAGTCCTTCGATGCCTGAGCTTCATCGCGCCACAGCTTCCACCAAGCACCGGACATGTTCCCCCACCGAAGGGCGGTGATAGAGTAGGCTGTATGCTGTCACCCCGATTGCAACAGCTGACGATCTTGGCTATAGCTGTGCGTCTCGCGCTATACCTTTGAGCGTTCTGTTTTGTACATACGACTAAGAAGCTTTCTAGGGCGGTCAAGCCCTTTGGGGGCCTCCTTTTTCAGTAGGAAGGACTGATGCTGTACGCACAAAGCGCGTGGACGGGGGAAATTGCCTCTGATGGGCGGAGTGCATGTCCTGCTTTCCTCGAAAGGAGTGTAGAGTGCCGCGAATCGTTGTTCAATTCTCTTTCCAGTGCATTTTGGAGTGCGTTATGGCTTCCCTACCCAAGCTGCTGTGCGTGTCGTCCCTAGCCGTGGAGAGCCTTTTCCAGAACGACAGGTTTGTAGGCAGTGCTCAGGCGCATTCGAAATTTCTTGGCGGTTTTGGCCTTGCTACTGGTTGCTCGGGGTGTTCTGGTAGACCACGGACTATTTCTTTCCGGGATGTGTAAGACGTGTGTCGGTTCCCATTCATGTGATACTCCCTGCTCTCCTTCGCATGGGCCCAACCCTGCCTGGCTTATGTAGCACGTTGAACTTGCGCGATAGAAAGTTGAGGTTGTGAATTCGTTGCGCATTGTGAGCGAGGCTTGGTTGAGAGTTTCCCTCATCTTGGTTTGGGGTGTGACTTTCTTGTTATGGTGACTTCGAGGTAATGGTTGAGTTCGGATAAAGGAGAATTAATCCTCCGCGTCTTTGGTGTGGCATACAGTGCTCAGCTCTGTTAATGGGGGTCGAAGTCAAGATTTGACTCAACATGTGCTTGTACAGGCGTCTATGATAAGGTCATTAGTATTAACATCAGCATGAACCATCATCGATTTTGAATGTTGAAAAGCCGAAAACGTCGACCGTGGACACCGGATGCCGCAGCTTTGTTCTTGCGACGAACGCGAAGTATTTACGGCAGTAGTAGTGGATGCGCGCATCAAGTGTAAACATCAATACTAGGAGCAAGCCACACTGCTGAGACGCACGATGACTTCCAACCCATATTGTTGTGTTCGTAGAATTCCTGGCGGGTTGAGTAGCGTGAAACAACGCTTCCCCAAACCTCGTCGGCGCTCCGAAACGCCATGCATACGCTTGTTCCAGAAAATCGAGCCAGCAAATTGCCGAGAGGTTGTCGCGCTCCGAAAATCTGGATTTGAGATTGAAAGGCAGCCGTAGATGATTTTCAGGTTGGGCAAGGTTGGGAACAGTTCCCGTAAGGGGTGTGGAGTTTTTTTCATGGCAAACCCACCAACTGCTGTTAACGGCTGTTGTTGAGGGTACCGCGGGAAAGTCCTTCATACACATTGATTGTTGATTGAGTTTTGAAATTTTGTATGTGGCCATCTCTTCACTACACAATCACCTCGGGGTTACAATCACCGTGGGGTTAATACGTGGGACTTCTGCTATAGTCCAGGCTGTTCCTGCTTTCCTTTGCTTCCTTGGTTAATTAAACGGTTTCCTATCGCGTAACATGCGCACGCCATGCAGTCAGAATCCAACCCAAACCAGACCCAAGCGCACACACACGCGTACAAGCACCAAAACGGCATTGCTCGGAATTACTCCTCAATCTTGCAACGTGACACAACGTGTGAACAGGTTAATTAACCATGGTATGTAGCACGTCATCACACGGCTAAGTCCAAATACCATACCGATTTTGACTGATTGCAAGACAACCCTGACCGAACAAAAAAGAGCATCCACAGCTCCAACCACACCCGAGGCAGGACAGAAATGCATGGGAATCTCTTGACGGAATTTGTTCTCAACAATGACCTTCATCGGCATGACTATTTTCCGATGACTAACACTACACTATCATATATTGTCACAGTAGTCTACGTGGCCGGGCCAGTTGATAAGCATTTTCACAAGAAGTCAAGGCTTGCTCACAATGGCAGAAGATGTTGGGCTCAGCCTCCCGCACCCCACTTTGAACCCTACTCCTATCCTGTGGTATCTAAATAGGCTGCCATCGAAAAACCCGGGAGTATGAAAAACGTACGTCTGTGAGCGGGAGGTGGATCATGTCGCTGATCGAATGAGAGGGGTTGCTGGTCACGTTGACTTGATGTATAGGAACTAGAGCTCGAAAAAATATGTTTTGGGGATGATTTTACCCGGCTCGGCAGCGGGAGACGGCCGATGTTGCCCCGTCCAAGAAAATGAATGTTTAGGATTCAGACATGTAGTCAAATGGACAGAGTTCAACCCTCGCGCTGCGTTGCCATGATGACATATTCCACCACAAGGGGAGCCTCAAGGAGACCGAGCGGATAGTTGTAGTGTTTTCTCGTGACATAGGGTGGTCGTATGCATTCGTTGATTCAAGATGAGCCGAGGAAGGATGTGACATGATCAATGTGCGAACAAAATGGATTTACCACAAGATGACCCTTGGAGAACGCCCTGGGGGACTCATAAACAGTGTTGCTTGATCCAAGCACCCTGGGGTTCACCCAAAGGTGAGTGGGCGCAACAATCAAAAGCCAATATATTATTGGGGTGAAGTCGCCAGGTTGTAGTTCTCTTTCTTTCTCTTGGGTCGTGGCAACCCGCTTCCATGTCGGGCCTGAACAAAAACTAGGACACGGCATGCGGAAGTGTTTCTGCCCTGTTTGCGTGGACGCATCTTTTCAAGTCCTCGTTCGCGTGTTGACATCGTCGAGTATAGTGAATACAGAGCGCTTGGATATCGTTGTTGTTGTTTCAACACCCTTCTTTATGGTGCACACCCGAAGACGGACGCTGAGGTTTCTATTGATAGTGAATGCCCATTTCACGGACACCTGGCTGTGTGTGCACACCTGGAGAATCGATGCCAACATTAAGTCGTTACTTTGCCGGAGACATTCGATTCCTGCTTGTTCGGGCTCAGCCATGGACCCGAAGCCACCCGAGACGTGACCACCAAACAGATTAACACTAGCAATACCCGCGCTCACAACGACCGCCGGACTTTTTTTCAACGTGTCATTCTGCAAATACTGTTCGCGATTCATACAACGGTAGGGGTAGCACGTTATGACCCGGAACCTTCATGCGTAGTCGGGGTTCCTCGTCTTAGCGACCGTCGCAAGTAGTCAGATGCTGAACATCAAACGGTGCTAAGCTGACGAAGCACGAACAAGCCAGCGAGATTGGGCGCACCTACTGACGCAGTAAAGAAGAATCAGAGGAAACTCGACAAACGAAACTGGTTCCTCGTTTCCCCTACTCCGAGACCTACAAGTACATTGCCCGTGGACAGCCCAAAAAGAAAGGCAGCTGCGATTGGCTTCATCTGTGACATGGCTCTGAAGCGTTCTCCCCGTCGCGATACAGAAACGACACGTCAGTTGGAACAGAACGTCCAATCTAGGTGCCAACAACAATGCTAAAAAAATCTGTCATAGAGAATACATACGGTGCAAAGTTTCCTCTACGATTTTCCCTCGCACTCCACCGGACCGAGCACTCACACGTTCAACGCGCATACTCGAACAAGCTTCGCACAAACTGCGGTACCACGAAGTATTCCCCCGAAAGGGAGCCTCAAAGGGCTTGACGGTGGCTGCACTACGTTCGTTACTTTGAATACACATGTAACGCTCAGCGCTCGACCTACATGAACAATACGGGAACGACTGTCCGTGCTCTAATGGGTAGTCGCAAACGTGGTGATAACGCCAAGCTAATTTCCCTCCACGTCTTCTCGAGTGAGCACGAGTTTTGCCCAGAAAATTCTCTTGAGCGTGTCGATGTGATGGCGCTGGGTTACGCGTCGGACAATTTGCTGGGACGGTCTCCTCATTTTCGGAAGACGACGGGGAACAAGGCGCTGATTTGGGCGCAACTGCCGCGTCGTCGAAATCAGGCTGGGGTTCTTCCTTATCAGGCCCATCATATCCTGCCCTTGTGCACCATGGAAAAATTTAGAACGTTGACCACCTGGTACAGTCCGCTGCGAGCGTGAGGGGGCGTCATGCGATACACACGGAACAGATGAGAGTAGAGCTGTTTCGCTGCGGGCTGGACGGGGTTGGGAATACATTTCACGGGGAGTAATTTGTGACCAAATGTTGCGCTTGTCTTGTGCTGTTGCCAGGACCACGAAGTCTTCAAGCAGGAAGGAAGAAGCAGTTTAGGCGGTAGCGAAAGGGACAGAAGAGGGTCAGAGGAGTGAAAAAGCAGGGGCGGAGAGGCGAGCTCTGCGCTCTCCACATTTCCCAACTGCAGCGATATGTGTTAACGTGTTTACGTCGTCTCTGAAAGTTTCCCCGTGTGCCGTTGTGCGAGCAAGGAACCTCGACCCACCGCGCTCAAGCTCGGCTGGTATGCGAAGGTTCTCCTATGGGTTCTACCGAGTCTTGCTGTAAACGTTCAAGGTTTCCATGTGTCAAGGACTTGACGGTCACTCGCAGTGGCTGGAGAAAAACGGCAGCGTGAGTTGTCTCTCTTGCGATTCTGCCGCAATGCTTTTGGATTCGACACTAGAAAAAAACAATAGTAAAGTGGCTGGCGTCTATCTAACCTTGTCGACTTGGTCCCACAGGGAGCGTGCCCTGGTCATGACATGGTCACAGATACCGACCTTCTGCATCTCGGCTTGCACCTTCCTTGCCGCTTCTTGCACGGTAACCTTCACCTTGCAAGGATATGTACAAAAGTCCAAGAAAGAGTGTTACCGGCAAAGTACGCTACTATCGGTGTCAAATTGCAAACACGGGGGTACCATATTTGCTCAATAAACGTGTTTCTCCACCCGCATACAATGCGAGACCAAGCCCAACAAACCACAAATCAAGAAACCGTTCGAAAAAGGTCAGGTCGGGCACGCCCGAAGCGGTCGTTCGTGTCGAAAGCCTGCTGTACGACGTTTTTGCTAATATGACCCATGGAGCGCTTGGAAACAAGCGAAAAGGACACGAAACAAGACAATGATTTCTGTCCCAGGTTTACCACAAACATTGTAGACTACTAGCATCGCTGCAAGGTCCCCGAAGCGGTGAGAGCAGGACAGCCATTTCATTGAGTAATGGTTCTCACCTTGTCCGATAACTGGCACGTGCGGTTGATCTCTCGAACGACCCTTAACAAGGCTAGGAGAACGTCGGAGGTGAAATTGCCCGCTCTGCGGGAAATGGTGCCGACCTGAGACGGGCAGATGATTTGAATATATTAATTGAGTGCGTATGACTCCAAAAAGACGGGTACATACGTTGTCTCCTTGAGTTGAAAAAAAAAGATAACATTCAGTGGCAGGAACAAGAAAAGGATTTTTGACGAGATCGAAATGTGGAGAACACCTTCATAAAGGTTGAAACTCCCCAACGCCTGTTGAGGACGAAACCCTTTTTTTTTTCCATAATGGCGTCGACGAAGAGATGTCAGGTGTCTGCTTGTGGTTGCACAGATACGGGTTCAAAACCCGCTGCTCACCTTATTTCTTCCGGAGTACGGAAAAAGAGAAACGGTGGGTGGGCCAAGAAACGATGCACTCACTGTCTATCGAACTCGAAATCGATGCACTGTCTATCGAACTCGAAACCTCTGGCAATGCGTGGCGGAAGTGGTGTACCCGCACACACGCACAGAAGATTGTTGGAAAAAAGGTGGTTCTATTCGCCGCCAGCCGGTCGGGTTCCGGTTACCCCAAGAAGACTTCTCTTGCCTAGCAAACAAGAAGAAGCCTCGAAAAAGGGGGGGGTAATGTGGAGAACACCTTCATAAAGGTTGAAACTCCCCAACGTCTGTCGAGGACGAAACCCTCTTTTCCACAGAAAGACGAGATCGAATCCAGATGAAGGAGGTTCTGGCAGCCCTCAACGTGCAAAATATCCCCCGCCCTGTCGGCGAACACATCGAGGGATATTGATCAGCATAGAGGCTCCTGAAACAAGACACCACGACCCCAATATTGGCCGATCGCGTGTATTCTGGCAAGGTAGGTCCACCACCGCCCCATTTGTTGCACAGTCTACCCACATCCTCCGGTTTGAGCGGGGAATAGATTCGTTTGAGAGTCTACACGTCAAAAACGCCCTTTTGTCAGTCCAAATCACCGCGACGACTCACGCGCCATCCTGCAATGTAGCACCTCGACGGATGTGCTATGCACTGATTACAACAATTGGACTTTCGCCGTCTGCTTGAATCTGGAAGTCCCAAGCCCGCTCGCAATAGAGTCCACGTACGACTACTGTAGACAATAGTGTAGGTCAGTCCAAGTGCACAGGATAAAAGCTACCAACGACCTGATATACACATCCTGGATACATCTACGGTAGACAGGCAGTGAATGAACGTGTCGTAGCTTCACGAGATACTTTCCACCTTGCTGTGTGACTTGGTGACGACCGCTGCCCCGGCCCCGCAGAGAAGCACGACCGTGACCGCCACACAAGCTCCGCAGAGAAGCAAGAATACAATGGGCGCCAACACAAACAACCGAACGCAGATCATTGCCCCCACCGATGCACCCGCCACGAAGGAGCCGAGCATGGTGATAGCGCTGGACTCATCATGTGCGAGAATAGACCTATCACGATTATGCTGTTGCTCGGTGCCGTTGTCCACTTCGAAAGATTTGGCATGGCGGCATGAATCGTCCCGATTCGCGGCTGCCTCAGAACCCGGCGCGCTGCCTTGGTGTCGTGGGTTACTCTGCATGGTTCTTTTCGGCTGGTGGTATTGCGGTGCTTGCTTTGACGGAGAGGGCAGGAAACCAAAGCTTCCTGGGGTGCGGAGTTGTGTGGGGGCGTGGGTGACAGGGAGCAGGGAGTCTCCTCTCTGACAATGTTGAGTAGCTTTGTGCGTGTGTGCCTCGGCGCGGGGTCCCGTGGTGGGAAATAAATGTGCCAGCAGCTGGGTACTGCCAACGGTGAAGAATGTAGAACTATTTGCGGGCGTGAGAGCCCTCTCGTGGTGGAGCGTGGAAGCTCGGGTATGGTATAGTCTTTGGCGTGGTATAGTCTTTGGCGTGGAAGCCGGGTGGCGTAGAAGCCCTGATGTAAAGGTATATGCAGGGACGTGGGAGTCCTGAAGGCGTGGAAGCCGGGTTGGCGTGATAGCCGGAGTAGTGGCGTGGAAGCCGGTGGGTGGCGTGAGAGCCGGGAAAAAGGACTTGATTATACACGAAAAAA